CTGTGCAACATGCCCACATCTCTCTCACCACCTTACCAAAGTATGACTGGTTTGATGCTCCTGTCTGTTTGTCGTGTGAGAATATGACCAGGTAGGCGCTTGTGTCTGTCAGCTCTACATTCTGTTTAGATGAATGCAACACCGACTCCATCCAGTTACCGGAAGGAAGTGTAGTCACCACCAGGATGCCGTTATCCTCCTGACTGTTGTGGATCCACTTGGATACCTGACATTTAAAACAAGCATGACATCATCCCACCAATCATCATCATCCCACAAACTATGATCGTCATCATTATGAGACGTTTTTATTTGGAATTGATCATCTGAGTTTTGAAATAATGACCAATGATTTAACTCAAAAGGAATTATTTTCATTTTAAACAAAGAAAATGAAGTTATGGATTTTTTTTTTACCATCTGAGTGACATTGAAGACTTCCCATCCTTGTGTGTATAGTGGAACCAATCTGGAGGTGATGAGATTTCCTCGCCATGGCTTCACAAGGTTCTCCAGCACCTCATACAGAGCCACCTGGAGAAAAAAAAGTGGAAAAAACCCCACCACCAACCAACAAACAGAAACTATCACTATTTATTTTGAAAAACGCCAGAATCCCCGTTAAAGGCCCACGATTATGAAATGCTCGCAGATACAGAAACCGGGTGAGTACACTTAGTAGTTAGTGCGCCAAAACATTGCCACAATGTTTCCTGTACAATATAAGAAAAAAGTGAAAATGATATGTCTTTAAAAGCAAGCAAACAAGAAGCGTTTACTTTGTAGAAATGAGGCGTGTGAAAGCTTCCGGGACAAAACTTCCTTTTCTTTCGGAACCAGCGGAACTGCGCTTTGATCATTCTCTCATCTCTGCCGAAAGATGACAAGTTGAAGAAGTGAAAACTCTCTCCAGGTTGTCCTGCAGACAACAAAACAACATAAAAATATTTAGAGAAATGATGAAACCATACACTGGAAAAGCGCAGGCTTTTAAACAGACACATAGCCGTGCGCGATTGCGTCTTTACGCACTTATACATACTAATTATTTTTGTGCGCCCTAGATGCAAACTCATTGGAAGATATTCTCGCGGAACAGCCGTTACTGTTGCTTCTCACCTTTATCGCTGAAACTCCGCACCGTGTTTCCTTCCAGAATGTCCGTCTGGCTTTTCGGGGTCCCACCCGTGACAGAAACCACGTTAAAAAGATCCAGCATGAACTGAGGAGCCTTCTTCTGAGGAGCCACCGCTGGTCTGGGGATATCCTTAAGATAAAAGAGACGATCCTGCTCCTGCCTGGCCATTTTTGTCACGTCCAAACCGTCCTGCGGGATCGCCAGCGGGGTGACGCATCTTAGCAAGAGGGCGAGGAGGCAGAGGCGCGGAGCTCGTGCTGTCATCTCCAGACTGGACTGAGCTCTACACCTGTTGGGAGGGCAGGTAATAAATGAGGGGGTGCCCTTGTATTTAGCAAACAGTAAGAGGTGACTGGACCATGACTGATGACAAAACACAGAAAACCAAATACACAAAAGTATGGGTGGAAACGAGCAGAGAACCAGCTGTAAAGAAAAATAAACACACCACTAATTTGTCCGGCTGACTGCAGTTTACAAGCCGCTCCTGTTCATTTGAAAAGTTAATTCAGACATGCTGCAAAGCACGTTTTACGACAGATTGACCGCATGTGTTAAAATAGGTTCAAATGCATTGAAGAGAATAACTTTCACGTCTTTAGTATTACACCACTCGCCCTTCGGTGCCACCGTTTTATTCGCTGGACCAAATAAAATTATCCGATCATGATGTCTTGTCACCTTTGTCCCACGTCACGCGTTATCAGTATGAGGCCAGTCGCTGGAGAGCAAACGAACAACCGAGCCGTGACGCAAATGAAGCGCGTTTTCAAAAGCTGCCTGTTAACGCGCACGTTTTCACAAAAAACTCCGCCACTGTTTGGACAGTGACTCAGAGTTGACAGCGTGACGTGTTTATTCCTCAATTAGGGCGAATCCCCGCTGACCTCTGATCAATCAAGTACAACAAAAGGGATCAAACTCTCGGGTTCGTCACGCTGATCGATGGCTCAATCTCCTCTCCCATTACTAATCAAATCTACGACCATTACACGGGAATGATGATCCCCCTCATTACTCACATTTAAGACCATGAACGAAAACGTATCACTGAGTAGCCACCCAGTCAGATAAGCCTGAAAACAGACAAAAGCAATAAAGACTGGCAACAAAGAGGATTTACTGAAACAAGACTTGGATTTAACTCAACTGCTTTGACTTCTTTTTAAACTGCTTTCAATAAAAAGGCAAAACTCATGTTTGGATATACAACCTTGTTTCCAAAGGGCTAGACTGGTGTGTAAAAACCTGAATGCAATAAACATGATTGGAAAAGCTGTAGACTGCATAACTAATTAGTTTCATTAGCTTGGAGATGGCTGCACTGACAAAAAAATTTGAGGTGAAAGATGAAGACAATGGTGAAGATGCTCAGATTTTGATTGGGAGTGACCAGAATACACAGGACTGGAAATATATATACATCAGAGGGTTAGAGCGGCAAGATTGAGATGGTTTGGACATGTGTAGAGGAGGGTTAGTCGACATATTAGACAAGGGATGCTGAATATTGAGCTGCCGGGCAGGAGGAAAAGAGGAAGATCTGAGAGAATATTTGTGGATGTAGTGAAGGAGGATATGGAGAGGGCTGGTGTGACAGAAAAGATGGGGTGAGATGGAGGCAGATGATCTTCTGTGGCGAGCCCTGAAGGGAGCAGGATAGTATTAAAAGAGCCTCCCAGAGAAGCTCAATCTTTCAGAATGTAAGGTAGGGTGGTGTAATAGGAGCAATGGCTGAGCCGATGCCGCACAAAGTGCTTAAAAATATAAAAATGGCATTAAGAAGCAACAATGTAATCCAGTAATAACAATATAAAACAATAATAGGACAATAAAATAATTAAAACAATAACTGAAACTATTTCCAATAAGACCAAAATGCTTGGGCCAGTGTGTCAAAAGCCAGGGCATAAAAATGTGTCTTTAGTAATGATTTAAATTGCTCAAGTGTTTGTGCAGATCTAATATTTAGGGGGAGACTATTCCAAAGTCTGGGACCTGCCACAGAGAAGGATTTATCACCACTAGATTTGAGATAAGTCCGTGGGATGGACCGCATTAATTTTGAGCTAGACGTCATGGTTTTTCCTGGAGCATAAGCAGAGAGGAGCTCAGATAGGTAAGGAGGGGCTCGGGCGTAAAGTGACTTAAAAACAAAAAGTAAAAATTTAAATTGGATTCCATAGGAGACAGGAAGCCAGTGTAAAGAAGCTAAAACTGGGGTTATATGCTCTCTCCGTTTGGTACCAGTTAGCAGGCGAGCAGCTGCATTTTGAACCATCTGAAGACGATGGATGGTGGCCTGATCTAGACCATCATACAATGAATTGCAGTAGTTCAATCTGCAAGTAAGGAAAAGGTGAATAACACGTTCAAAGACGTTAGCCGGGAGGTATGGCTTTACCTTGGCCAGCTGTCTTAACTGAAAGAAGCAGGACTGAACTACTGCACTCACCTGCTTATTTAAAAGAACCATCAAAGTAGACACCGAGGTTTTTTATGACAACCACTGTTTGTCATCGTCAAGGCAGCGTAATAAGAGCTGGGGATGGTCTGACCCTGCTTTTAAAAGGTAGATAAACCTGCAAATCATCAGAAAAACAGTGAAATGAAATGCTATACCGCGAGAAGATGGAGCCCAATGGCAACAAATAGAGTGCGAACAGGGCAGGACCCAAAATAGAGCCTTGAGGTACACCGTATTTAAGAGGGGCTATTTTGGCGTTTTGGGGGCCCATATTGACATGAAAAGACCTTTCTGACAAGTAGGACCAAAACCACAGATCCTTTTAGGCCAGCATGAAATTCTAGCCGAGATAACAGGATGTCACGGTCGACCGTGTCAAAAGCAGTCCAACAATAAAAGGGCAGCAGGGCTGCCAGAGTGCAGAGTTAAAAGAATATCGTTAAAAATCCTTAAAAGTGCCGTCTCAGTGCTATGAAGTGATTTAAAACCAGATTGAAATTTTTCAGAGATCATATTAAAATCAAGGTGGGCCTGCAACTGTAAGTAGACCACTTTCTCCAAAACTTTAGACAGAAGAGGAAGCTTTGAGATTGGCCTGTAATTGGACAGAACAGTTGGGTCCAGGTTATGTTTTTTTAAGAAGAGGCTGAACTATAGCTTGTTTAAAGCATGATGGGACGCAGCCTGTAGCAAGGGACGTATTAATTAATCTCAGGATAAAAGGCCCAACAGTATTAAAAGTGCTTTTAAGCAAGCTTGGAAGGAGACAATCAGAGGGGCAGTGTGATGATCTTAGGTTACAAACTACCGCAGTCAAGTCATTAAAGGAGACGGGATCAAACTGCTCTAAGAGCACATAGGAGAAAGACTCTGATCTGAAGCAGCAGATGACGAGACAGGAGCCCTAATCGATAGAATCTTGTCGTTAAAAAATGCTAAAAAAAAATCATCGCAAATACTTGGTGGAGAAATGACTCCGGCATTATCACGTGAATCAAGAAGGCGATTAAGGACATTAAAAAGAGGCCTGTGACTGTTTACTGACACTAAGTTTGAGACAAACTGTGTCTTTGTAGTTTTTACAGCTTCTTGGTGAGCAGAAAGACGAGCCCTTAAAATCTGTAGGGAAACGTGCAATCTGACCTTTTTCCATCTCCTTTCGGCGCGTCTGCAGTCGCGTCTAAGGGAGCACGTATGTTCGTTCAACCTCTGATAAATGCTTAGCGCGCAGTCCTGAGCGGAGCAATAGAGTCCAAAATATCAGTGCAGGTAGAATGAAGAATGTCCGAAAGGTCCTCAACACTTTTACAGTTGGAGTTCATTATTCCAGAATCCATAAAGGCAGCAGAAAAAGCGGCGCTGTTAGAGCATTAAGCGCTCGCTTTTTGCGCGCTGGGGCATACGGCTTATCTACCGAGCAGCGCATTAAAGTCAGTTTTTCTCCACAGTCACAGATGCAATTTAAAACAATACAGACATACAAATAAGACTCAGCAAAACTATCATCT